TGGTTCATGTTCATAGCTTGTAATCAATCCTCCTAATCATATTTTCATATCATTTAGCAACAACTTGTAGGTCTTGTAGGGCGCATAGGGCGCTCTTTAAAGTAATATTTTGCAAATTTGATCAATACTTGGGCCATAAGGTCTTCGTCGTTCAAGAAAAGCGAATTATTCTGAGAGACGTGAAGCAATGATGATATGCATTCGAACACGTCCCTTGATTGAGACACGTTACGAGCAACTGAATGCCTGTCTAATAAAAATGGCCCCTATTAGATGCCTTGATGTAGAACTTTTGCCCGACTGTCGCTGAGTTAAGCCTTCACGGGAGGAACATTCATAAATTCATTTCGCCATCGAATGGCGAAACAGTTTATAATAAAATTGTTAGCCGTTGCACTATACCGTGCACCGTATAAAGAACAGAATACTAATAGAAACGATTCGATATGTTATATAAGCGAAAAGAGTAAAAAGTTCTGCTTAAGCAGCAGTGTAAATGGTACGTACATAGTTACTTTCAGGTGCAGTTTGTTTAGAACAATTTGTGGTTTGCTTTTATGCGATTCTTTAAAGAATTTTTCGTTCGCTTTCGATCGAATCAAAAGATATTTCCTACGCATATACTATACGTCGAAGAGGAAAAGGTTCGAAGATTCTAGAAATGCATTGAAGGTAAACTTGAACATGCATTTAACATTAATTTCTCCAGAGACATCTGAAGACGAAGAAGAAGAGGACGCAAGAGGAGATAATGAGAATTCCTTCTTATATGTTGTCGCTGACCGCTGAGCAATGATTGCGTTGCCATGTTGTAAAGAGTAAGCACTCTTTTGTGCTCTTCACGAGCAACTAATTAATTGCGGAGTGTGCAGAGGGTATCAAAAGAAATTAATAAAACATTTTCATTATTTTACTTCGGTTAATTATTTGCTAACGCTGATGGAGCAGGAGCGAGCTCTGTATCCGTATTGCTCTCCGGGGATTCTCTGTCGTCGAATGCTTTCGCTATTGTGTTAAATATAAATAAACTCTACTGTCTGTCATCCCTTACAAGCGATAAGTTTGATTTTCTTGCATAACTACGGAATTAATACAACTTGACTTTGTACAAGTTTGCCTTGCAAACAAACAACGTGTATTCTTAACTATTTGCCTTTCAACTGCTTACACGCTTATATAGTGGCCCGCCTATAACAACAATTAATAGCAAATGGATCACAATGATTGCGGTTGTAGTTAATGGTTTCGATTAAAAATTGCGACAGGATGAGCCAACTGCCTCGTTGTACATAACAGAAGAAGAATAAGAAGAAGAAGAAGAGGAAGAATATGTGAAAGCAGTCGATTTGCGAGTACAGTGCGAAATGCTTTACATTTTCCATTCAATGATGCCGGCTCGTACTGGTGACCTATGCTTTACCATTATCAAACAATATGTTAAGTGCAGAGTGCACAGTGTATGTGCAAGTGTACGTTAGAGACAAGTTGATTGGGTTTCAAGTCAATTGGTTAGAAAAATAAATAAATTGCGGAAACATTCGATTTACACTTGAACACATCACACACCATAATTCTCTTAGTGCCCCCCTCCACAACACGCTCCAACGCACTACCGCACTACCCCACTACCGCACTACCGCCTAGCAGTAGTTCAATTGCTCTTTTCCCATTAAGAAAAAGTACATCAAACATGACACGAAGACGAAGCAAACCTCTGCACACTCGCATCATTAACATTTCGATTACGAGTTTTTGGTTTCTTTATCACTTGTCATAATTTAACTCGACATTTGCGAAGATTTCTCCTCTCGACGCAAATGCTCGCAATCAGTTGCAGGCGCTTTTCTAAATTTACTTTACTTTTATTTATAAGGGATAAGAATTTTTTTCTTTTGTTAACAGTTTAGATTAGTTAACCTTTCGCAGAGTGAATGCAGAATTTTGGTTTCTGAACCAAACATCAGTAAACGATACGTTCGCTGAGCGGTTAACTTTCAATGAAATTGAATCGAGAAAAATTATGAGCCAAAGATATCTTGAGCTATTATTGATCTTTTCCTAGCTTCTCATCAACTCTAGGTTTCCGAATATTTGCAAAATTCACAGACGATGGAAAGGCCTGGCTGAACCGATCTATAATCGCAGGACGATTAAACATATATATATATATATGTCGTTTTTTGAACTTTAGAGATGAACACGAATTTCAAGGCTTAAGGTATAAGGTAAGGTTTTCAGCCTTAAATTAAGAAAAACAAGTAATGCTTCAGGCCAAAGATGAAGTTATTTTTAAAACTTATGAAAGCGTATGAAAAGGGAAGATTTTCTTTCGAATATGTCTAATTTTTCGGAGCGAAACCCGGAGCATAAAATAATGACTATAATGCAACGATGTCGCGATCGATCTCGCTCGCTTTTCGTGCTAATCACACGTATCCTCAATTACATAATCAAATTAAATGAAAATATTTTGATTGATGGAGGAATCTTTATATGAACTACTGGTGTCCACATACACAGAATGAAATTTTCCATTTTAAAAATTGAATTGTCACTGACCCGAAACTGGCAAATGTCGGTACGGTCAACGCAATCATCGATCGGTATTTTTAACATTTCGATCGGATGATGAGAATTGCAATTTAACCACTGAACTGAATGAAAAACAAAAAGTGATGGCAAAATCGATCAACAATAGCGATACACGGCTGAGCATTGATCACACATTAAAAACCTTAACTGATCTTCTTCTGCGCCGATAACTGGGTAACGCAAACTGCGGGAAAAGGATGCGACATAGGCGAAGCTCTGCTTAGCTAGATATTGCTTTTGTTGTTATTACTGTAGCGTACAAGAACTAATGGGTAAATAAATTGAAAAACGTCCGAAACCGAATTTGTGCACATTTTAAGCGAAAGGCTAGATCTGACAAGGGAAGAAGAAAAGGAGAGAAAATGGGGATTGCGTCATTCACCCATCATCTCAACTCTGTAATGCATTTTCTTTTCGTAAAAAGAAAATCAAAGAGAGGCGTCAGTGTCTGCTAGCCGTCTAAATGTATGTCTTTTGTTTAGCTTATTTTAGGTAACTATTGTCGAGCTATTATATAAAACCTATTGTTAGTTACACATACACAAAGGCTGCTATGCGTACAATTCGAAGCGAGAGAAAAGCAATTTCCTAATTGAAATTTGCAATCAATCAAAATGCAACCAAACTCAGTTGCAGCAAATGAAACTCAGTTTGCCAAAGCGTACGCACGCACAAGAGCAAATAACTAAAAACTAGATTTTCCAGATTTCACGTCGTGCGTTGTAAAATTGCTAAGAGAAATACAAAATGAATTCTTAAAATTAAAGTCGAATTTTCAAGTCGAATTTTGTCGGTATGCAGCCATGCAGCAAGAGTTAAGCAAACGCACACATAATTCCGCTTAACGTTAACTACAATTATCAAAATTGCACAAAGCCATCGTTGAACTTCAAATCCTATTTTCTGGCTGTCATTCGAAATGAACGCAACTCTGTTACTGTTCTGTTCTTCTGTACGAGTAACAATGAATTCACAATACTCAAGCAATTCGTCGAGAAGGAAAGCAATTAAAATATCGTAGGGTATTTTGTAACTAGACGACAGCTTTCCATTCTAGTCAATCATATAATGATTAGGTTTCATCGCCTGACGATTTTTCACTCTATCCACTGCTAACAGAAAACTAAGTCTAGCTCTTAGTTAGATTTGTTAACTATTATTGATAAGAATTATTAATCAATCTCAAGTGCGACTTGAAATTTCCATAAAGCCGTTAGCCTTAGTTGCTCGTCCTTAAGGCTCATTCTCTGGCTACATTCATTCTAATAATAAGAGCAGAGTCTCTCTCGGCACAATTAGTGTAACAAAAGTGTATGAGAGGTTAACATAAGAGCAACTATGTAACGTTTCAAGTTTTCATCATTCATATGTAGACATATATTAGTGAATAATAACGACCTCCATGGCTCTTCAACGTTAACGGGAGGAAATCTTGATATATAGGGGTTTCACAATTTCTCAATTTGACTTCATGCGATACGAGTACAAATTCGCTTATGAAAAATAAGCTAATCTGATATTAAGTAACTCGGGAAGATCGGAATGTGGAATCCTTAACGAAACTTCCGATATTCTGCTGTGTCTTCGTTTGTTGATAATCTGTTGACAGTGAACTTTAATTCGTTGCCGAAAGCACAATCAAGTTTACGATGTACACGCCGCCATAGACATTGAGTTAAAATATGGGCCGAGGACAGCCACAGTTCCTTCAAAATGTTATATCCACGCACTATCACTTAAGCCGATCAGCAGCGTTTGAAGAGATTAGAGATCACGATAAGAGACTCGATTCCTTCGTCTGCCCTGCTTCTCATACGCAATGCCATACGTGACACAAAGAAAAAAAATGTTCATAATACGTTTACAACGCTACAAACGCCAAACAAGACATTGGAAAAGACGACCGCACGTTAAAAATAGTTACACAAACACATATGAATGCATATCAAAGGGTAAAAATGTGTAGATAGTTTCGAAATGTTTCGTGCGTAAGAGACGGGCTAATGTGTTTCGCAATTTTTATAAAGCAAACGAAAGTAAAAGTATTTGTGCATAGCCTCTAATGCAATCAACTTCCGCCTTATGAATTCTTTGACGCCCTATGTTCTCTCCATGTACTGCTGTAAGCCCTGACTAACACTTATATTGCCGCTCTGAGACAAGCGATCTGCCGCTAAGCAAGTGCTCATTATTAGGTGACGAGAATTAATGTGTGACCAAATAATTGTTCCAGCGGAAAAGTGTCGAGCAGATTTATTAAATGGGTAAATATACCGAAGCATGGACACGAAACCTTCTCATATACGCAGTTGGAATGAGGTTAACGATAAAATGCTTCTATCACTGGGAGTTAATTCAAAATTGCTTTAAATAACATCCCGGCCTTAACGAAGTAATTAGGGATCGGAATGGCAGCATGGAGCCACAAAACCATTCACCAAAATACCTCATCTCATTATGTACCTACCCTTAATAGCTACAAAGCAATAATCATTAGCAAAGTAAATGTTAAAGAAAGTCGCAGACTCGAAAGTATTAAATCTTACTGACTATGAATCCTAAGTGAAGCTTGCTAGCTTTCATTAGATCTTCTTTTATTACCATGCTCAGCTGTACTTAACCTAAAAGGCCGAGCAGTAATGGATGAGCTTGGGCAGAGGCAATAGTGGCACAGAGATGTAATAATACGGTTTGTATAGGTTTTTCCCAAAGACAAGACACACCACTACACGAGAAAGGCACACATTCTGCTATGTAAAGAGAGTTTAGTCAATCAACATTTTTCTCCTTTTGAATTGATTTGCTTATAGATAGATAGATAGATAGATAGATAGATGTTTACAAAAAGTACGTACAAATCATGTTACACAAGTTGAGAGGCACTAAATAAAAAAAAGGCCAATTTATTATTGTTGTTATTGCAATTGAATTTGTTATACATTACGTGAAAGAGTGAATGATTTACACAGCAGAAGTGAAGTAGAAGGGAAGTAAAGAAAAGAGCAAGATAAATACAACAAAGTTGAAAATCAATTTAAAGGCATCAATTGTTCGCTCACATAAACCATGCGGGGGAAGTGGAAATGCGAAGAAAGCGGTAGAAGAAAAGAATTTGAATTGCAAAGGAAACGAAAAAAGTACTCAATGCAAAAGTGGGCATGTTGATGACATTACTGTTACTATTCGTTCATTTTTCGTCGCTTCATCGTTTGCATTGAAAGAAAGTCCATACAATTGCATTGTAAAGTAATAAAAGCGTAAAAAAGCTTCACAAAATTGATTAAATGAGGAACAGAGACAGAGGGAGGGAGATGATACAAGATAGATAGGAAGGATTATGATAATGTATTGTTCCTGATAAAACAATTGCGTCTTTTATCACAAGGGCTTTCCAATAACTGTTCACCCACTATTCACAACATCAAGTCTGCACACACACACACACACACACACAATACATAAATTGTTGATCTCACCTGATTTACATTAAAAAAGACGACATGCGTCGTTCTCGACTAGTAGACGATACCGCGTTTGAATTAGACTAACCTGGCATAGTTTTTCGCAATGCTATGAAGAAATATTAGGTTTTTTAATTCGCTCTTGTGAAAATCATTCCAAAGACGTTTAAAAATTGCTTTGAATGAAATTGAAAGGTAAGCAAGAATGTAGCGTAGATTTGACTAAAAAACTACAAATGCAGTGACGGATGGCAATACCTAATAATAACAACTTACCGGTTACATACACAAAAGTTCCCATTAGATCGTCGACGATGTAGGCTTGAAGATCGACGATAAACGAATTGAAAAATTTTCGTCTTTTGCATGAAACGTTACGGCTAAATCCACGTCGCCCTAAATCCAAAAACTTCCTAAATTCAACAAAGAGAAGAGATTTTTGGTTTTTGCTAGAATAGAGCGATTATTTTCAAGCCCTCTTTTTGTTACCAGTTCATTTGATCGAATTATATCCAGTTTTGGAAACTTGGACTGCAATCGATAGCTTTCGCACTCGCAGGTCTAATAAATTTGGTTTCTACAATAGATTCATCAGAAATGCTAGCCTTGCAAGATCCTTGCCATACAATAAATTAAATGACGAAGAAAAGACAGTGGTCGTCTTCTCCTCTATGCATTAGATCAAGTACAAATTTTAATGTTAATAAATTTAATTTATTTGAGCAATAATTCTCAAACCGCTTGCAATTGTTTTTACATTCTTTTAAAAACCTACTTTTGTAACAAATATTTTTTACTTAAATAATTGTTCAACAATACCACCGCATTCAAGGGCTGTGACGTGAATGTTGTATCTTGATATGAAATTTATGCATCCATTTCTTTTTTTCTAAATTTTTATTTTTTTAAATTTATTTCAGATATCAGGACTTCGTCAAATATGTGCTGTTGAAGAAGATATAGTGGTCGACAATTTCTCACGTAAGATCGTACAAACACTTAAGCCTATTTTCCTAAAGTGGATTATGAGAAGTGGG